CTTCACCTTCTCCAGGACAGACCTGTTTGTTCTCCTAGCAGTCCATGGTATATTCAACACTCCTCTCCAGCACCACAGCTCAAAGGCATCAATTCTCTTTCTATCATCCCTATTCACTGTCCAACTCTCTGATGCATAGCACATAATTGCGAAGACTTGGAATGCAAGGACATTTCCAAAATACTTCTGTTTGGTTGGCCATCTTGGGCCACCTTATTCCTCGTCTGTTTGGTTTGCCGATCTGGGCCACGTGCCCACCTTGCCTACAGTTGGGGCTGAGGACATAATCATCAGTGAGAAGTAGACTCTGCAGCATGTGGAGTACTGGGAGATGCGGTTAAGAGGCTAACTAGGATTTTCTCTTCATTACTTTCACAAATAATTTTTCCTATCTTTTTTGTCTTATTTTATTTTACTCACATGTCAGGAAAAAAAACCCAGAAAGAAATTACTCAAACAGCATTAAAAGTAGTTGAACATGTTGTTATTGGTGTCATGTGTTGTTGAGTTGCTTGCGACTCATAGCGACCCTTTGTAAACAGCTCTGAACCCTGCTCTATCCTGAGCCAACCTACCCTTATTACCTGAGTCACTGAATCAAGTCCCTCCACCCTTCCAAGCATGATGTCCCTCTCCAAGGACTGGTCCCTCCTTGCAACATGCCCAAAGTAAGTTAGATGAAGCCTTGGAATCTTGCCTCCAAGGAGCAGCCTAATTTCACCCTCTCCCGGATGAATCTGTTTGTTCTATTGGCTGTCTAAGGTATAGTCAATACTTTTCTCCAGCACCATGGCTCAAAGGCATCAATTCTCTATCATCTCTAGTCATTGTCCAGCTTTCTGATGCATAGCAAGTAATTGCAAAGACTGGATCAAAAGCATCTTAGTCTCCAGACTGATGTTGTTGTTCTTCAATGCTCTGGAGAGGTTTCCCAATGCAATTTGTCCCTTGACTTCTTGGCTGCTGGTACAAGAGTGTTGATTGTGGAGCCAAGCAAATTAAAGCTGTTAACAATCTCAGTCTCTTCACTTTCTATCATAATGCTGCCAGTCGGCCCAGTGGTGAAAATCTTTGTTTTCTTAATGTTTAGCTCCAATCCATGTTGAAGGCTGTAGTCCTTTACCTTCTGCAGCAAGCACTTCAGGTCCCCCTCAGTTTCAGGAAGCAGGGTTGTGTCATCTACATAATGTAGGTTGTTAATGAGTCTTCCTCCAATCCTGATGCTACATTTCTCCTCATAGAGCCCAGCCTCCTGGATGATCTGTTCTGTATATAAGTTGAAAAGGTATGGAGATAGGCCATATCCCTGGCTTATAGCCTTCCCTATTTTGAACCATGCAGTGTTTCCTTGCTCTGTTCTGACAGCTGCCTCCTGGTCCAAGTATAGGTTTCACATAAGCACAATCAAATGTTCTGGGATTCCCATTCTTCTCAGAATTTTCACAGTTTGTTGTGATCCACACAAACACCTTTGCATAGTCAATGAAACACAGACATTTCTCTGATATTCTCTGCTTTAAGCCAAGATCCATCTAACATTAGCTATAATATCCCTAGTACCACATCCTCTTCTAAACCTAGCCTGCACATCTGGCCATTCTCTGTTGGAGGGCTGTTCCAGTTGTTTTTGGATAATCTTCAGCAGACTCTTGCTTGCATGTGGTGTTAATGATATTGTTTGGTAATTTCCTCACTCTGTCGGGGCACCTTTCTTTGGAATGGGAACAAATACAGATCTCTTCCAGTCAGTTGATCAGGTGGTTGTTCTCCAGATTTCTTGGCACAACTTTCTGAGTGCATCCAGGCAGTATCTCTTTATTTAAACATGTCATTTGGTATGCTGTCAATTCCTGGGGCCTTGTTTTTTGCCATTTCTTTCAGAGCAATTTAAACTTCTTCCTTCATCACCACAGGCGATGTTCATAAATTGTTCATAAATTGTTTCATGAAATTCTTCTGTGTCAGCCAATTTCTTTTAGTATAGTGGCTCTGTATACTCCGTTCATCTTCTTTTAATGCTTCTTGGATCATTTAATGTTCTGCCCAAAGCATTCTTAACTATTGCAACTTGAGGCTTAAATGTGTTCTTCAGTTCCTTCAGCTTAAGAAATACTGAGCAAGTTCAGCCCTTTTGATTTTCTGACTCCAGCTCTTTGCACATTTCATTTTAATACTTTGCTTTGTCTTCCTGCGCTGCCCTTTTAAAACTTCTGTTCAGCTTCTTAATTTCTGGATTTCTTCTCTTTGCTTTGGCTTCACGGTGCTCTAGTGCAATATTCAGAGTCTCTTCTCACGTCCATATTGTCCTTTTCTTCTTTTTCTGTCTTGTATAATGACCTTTTTCATTTGGATGATATTCTTGATATCCTCACAATTCATCTGATCTTTGCTCTTTGGTGTTCAAGGCTTCAAATCTGTTCCTGAGATGGTTTTGAAATTCCAGTGGAATAGACTCAAGGTCAAATTTTGGTTCCTGTGGATTTGATTTCATTTTCATTACCTTGAATTTGCATATGAGTAATTGGTGGCCTATTCCACAATCAGCACCTGGCCTAGTTTTCACAACTGATATTGATCTTCTCAAGCGATTCTTTCCACAGATATAATCAGTTTGATTCCTATGCATATCATCAGGTGAAATCCATGACTGTAGCAGAGTATTATTTGATAAATGAGTGTTTGATTTTCAAAAACTCTGTTACCACTTCATCAAAGAAGACATTCAGATGGCCAACAAGCACATGAAGAAATGTTCAAAATCCCTAGCTCTAAGAGAGATGCAAATCAAAACAACTATGAGATATCATCTCACCCCAGACAGAATAGCAAAATTTAACAGAACAGCAAGCAACAAATGCTGGCGAGGTTGTGGAGAAACTGGAACTCTATTCACTGCTGCTGGAAGTGTAAATGGTGCAACCACTGTGGAAAGTGCTGTGGTGCTTTCTCAAAGAGTTGCAAATAGAGATACCATTTGCCCCAGCAATTCCAATACTGGGAATATACCCTAAAGAGACCATAACCGTCATCCAAGCAGATATATGCACACCCATGTTTATCGTGGCTTTGTTCACAGTAGCAAAGAGTTAGAAACAACCCGGGTGCCCATCAACAAACGAATGGTTAAGAGAAGCTATGGTATATTAACACAATGGAATACTATGCTGCATTGAAAAACAAGGATCCCATGCAATATTATTCAAAATGGGTGACCCTGGAGGACATTATGCTGAGTGAAATATCTCAGTCACAAAAGGACAAATACTGCATGGTGCTACTGTTGTAGATTGGGACTGACATCAGGGTTGGGGTAAGACTGAGAAAAACAGGATAAATTATGTATACTGCATTGAAACAGATGAGGGAGAGAATAACTTAAAAACGATATACGATAGGGTATTATGGTTATCACAAGAGTCCAGAATTAAGGTTGCATAGTGGAGTGTACTTGGGGCGGTGGAAGGGATACAGAGGGATTATATACCAAAGAAGGAATTTTTCTTTTGCTTTTCAAAGAGAGGAGCAAACTGGGAAGAGGGGAGGGCTGGGCAGGGAGAAAAGTGCAACAATGAATGAATGGAAATCTAAAATTTCTGTAAGTGTTCATTAAAACTAATAAAATTTAAAAAAAAACCTCTGTTACAAATAAGGTTTTTGTAGGGAGCAAAGATAATGGTGAACTTTTTTTGGGGGGGTGAACTTTTAAAAACAAAAAAACCCTTAGTTATCATTTGATAACTGTAAGGAATACTGGTAGTGTAGTTGGTTACATGTTGGGATACTAACCTGAAGGTTAGTGGTTCAAATCTACTGGCCATCCTGAGGGAGAAAGATGGGCAGTCTTCTGTGGTAAAAGACGATAGCCTTGGAATCATAATGAAGGGTTTCCAGGAGCCAGAATTGACTCAACATCAGTGGTGTGCTATCATTATCTGTTTTTAGCCCATTTTTGGTAGTGTTCTCTGACTTGTCATTTGAGTGTCTTAGACGGAAATGATAGGAGCCCTTTGACTAACTATGGAATAATTAAAAACTCTGTTCCTGTAAGAGCACATCCAATGCAGAAGGAGTGTACAGTGGGGCAAAGAGGTCTGCTGCAGAGTCCTGAACATTGCTTTCTCACTCTGAGGCCTCATCAACTCCCTCTGTGACCTCAGCCAAGTCTCTCAACGTTGTAGAATCTCAGTTTCCTCAACTGCAGTGAGAGTTATTGTGGAGCTTAAATGAGATGATACTGGCTTGGCACGTGATACAGTTTAGCTGTTATTATCATTATTAGTTGTTCCTTGGCTAGGTTGTAGTCTTATGGAATTCCAGAGTTGGAGAAGCATTGTGAAGCTCAGTGCACATGCTTAATGCAGTGATAGGAACCTGTGGTCCAGAGTCACTTCAGGTGTCTAACTACGTCTGGTAACATAGGGCTCTGCTTTAACAGTCACTTGAGCTAATGGGCTGAACAGCATTTTCATGTGACTCTTAAAAAAATTATTGTTCATAAAATACCTAAGTGCCTTGCCTGCTGGAGGTGGGGAGAAAACACAACTGTGTATAAGTCTATAAAATAGCTTGCCAGTTCTGAAAATGAAAAATATTTTTTCTTTCCTTTTTAAAATTTAGATGTATCCAATTAAAACATGCCATAGATGAAAATAAAAATACTCTTCAAAAATTAAGCAAAGTAAGTATTAGTGTTAATCATTCTATTAGAAGAATCTGTTTTTCCTACAAATATTTTCATTAATTATGAATTGGGTTGGTAAATTGGTGGGTTTAGCGTAGGGATGAGACCTCACCTCAGTCAAATGCAGCTCTCCTGAGGAGGCTTACTGAATACCCAGGAGCAGAAACACAAGGACTCTGATGAACTCACTCAGCATTGAGAAATCAGAGAATTCAGGAAGAAGTTATTTTAATTTTAGATTTATGTTTTACAGTTTGGAATTGTTTTCATGTTAATTGCTTTCTGGAGTTGTTGTTATGTGCCATCAAGTTGAGTACAATTTATAGCAACCCTGTGAACAAACAATAGGTCTGACCCCTGTCCTGTCCTGCTACATCCTCATCGTCTCTGACACACGTGAGCCTGTTGCTGCAGTCACTGCGTCAGTCCATCTGATTGGGGATCTTTCCTCTCTTGTTCTGATAGCCCTTTGCAAGGAGTGGCCCTTCCTAACAATATGCCCAATGTGTAAGAGACGAAAATGGAGTAGAAATCTGGTTCTGAGGATAAGTGATAAACCCTTACAGCAAACAACTGGAATTCCTGTGACAGCAGCAGTGGGAGGACCTGGAGTTGACACTTGGCAGTTTTCCCATTGAGCGTGTGCCATCAGCCAGACACCAGGGGTCACACAGAACATTTAAAGTGGAAAGCACCTGAAGTGCATCTCAGATGTGTGGTTGCTGGATTCTCTTTGAAATCTTACCAACAACACAAAACTTTTCTGCTTAGGGAGTAGACCGACCCTAAGTTTAAAACCCAGTTATTGCTGTTCCATTGATGAGGAAACAGTCCAGCAAAGGTGAGGGAACTTTCTAGTGCTTCAGACCAGTCAGTAGTGAAAGCATTGTTGCCCATCTTTTGAACCACAGGAGCAACCTTCTGTCTAGAATTTGCCCCTTCCTTGCTTTGGAGGGTTTGCAGTATTCCGCGAAAAAACAGAACACAAGGGAAAAAGTTTTGATTTTTCACTTGGCTTGTGTTCTAACTCATCCATTTATATTTCTTTTAAATTACACTATTTACCTAAAATAGATGTGTTCCTGTTTTTTTGTTTGCTTTATTAGAACACTTGTTAGAGGTTTTCATATGCTTTTAAAATGAATGTAATAGAAGCCTAAAGTTAATGTTTCTGTGAACTAGATTTGTTCTTTCCTAGGCTGATGAATCTTCACCTGTTGGGAGCTATAATCAGAGGAAAGAAGAAGAGCATCACTTTTTGGACCGATTAACCCACCAACTGCAAGAATTTGCTGTGACCATCAACAGAGAAATTAGAACTGGGTAGGTTTCCTTCCTCTCATTTTAACCTTTCTTTCAGATACTGTATCCCACAAGTTTCAATGTTTACCTTAGACTGAAGGCATACTACAGAATAAATATAAGCAAGCAATAGTAACAATGTAACCAGTCAGTATTTATTTATTGGGTAAAAGAGAATATGTTAGATTCCAAGAGAGATAGAAATAGTATAAATATGGTCCTACCATCAAGTCTGATTGTGGAAACAAAAGTGAAAGAGTTCTGAAGAGCTCTAACAAATATTAGAAAATAAGAATGATGCAGTTAATGTTGATATGTAAAAGGAAAGCATTGTGCAAATTGTGTGCATGCAGTTTTCCCCTTACGAATGCTTTAAAAATTGTGAGGAAGAAGCAAACATTCTTTTCCTGTTTTCATGGATGTTTATAATAGCTTCTTCTGATTAGAAAAAAATAATTTGCAGTATAAAGAAAGCCATATGACAGAACTGAAAAATCAACTACTTAGGTGCTAAAGCTGATCCCATATCTCATACTGCATCCTGGGGAAAGCGCTGAAGGATGTAGATGTTAGAATTCTAGAATTTTCGCTGATTTCCAGTATTGAGCATGAAAGAGAAGCTGGTAGCTAGCTAACTTACCCTCCCAAGGAGTCCTGGTGGTGCTGAGCATCGAGCTGCTAACAGAAAGATTGGTGGTTCAAACCCAACAGATGCTCTGCAGGGCAAGCATGTGGCCGTTTGCATCTATAAAAATTTACAACTTTAGGAAACCTATGAGACAGGTCTGTTCTGTCCTGTAGGGTTGCTGTGAGTATGAATTAACTCAGTAGTAGGGGATTTGGGGCTTTATATACAACTATAGTAGTTAGAGATGAGGATGGTACAGGATAGGACAGGGTGCAGGCCTTTTGTTCATAGGGTCATTATGAGTAGTACTCAACTTGAGAGCACCTAGCAACAATATAAAACAGCTCTTGTGTATACTCTGTCTTCATTTTATAGTTGTCATTGTTGTGAGGACAGAGTATACAGAAGAGCTGTTTTAAAGTGTTGCACACCAGCTGTGAAAAGATAGTAGCAGTAGATCAGAACCATTCTTTTTTTTTTTCTTCTCCCTGCCTCTTTTTAAACAGTCCCTCCGTAAGGACTATCCACTTAGGTTTGTATCCAAAGACGAAATTTGTAGGTGAAAGGAGTTAGCCTTCGTTACAGACTCGTTAATTTCAGGGTCGAAAATTTGGAACGCTTCACGAATTTGTATGTCATCCTTGCGCAGGGGCCATGCTAATCTTCTCTGTATCGTTCCAGTTTTTTTTAGTATATGTGCTGCCGAAGCGAGCACAATCAGAACCATTCTAACTTTAGGGAGATTATACGAATTGGCACCAGTCCAGAGCTGGTCCTGGGAGGTGGAGGCCATACATACCCCAACTTTCCAGCCCTTTTTACAAATCCTCACATCAGCTGTCCTCCCCATAAGACTTTTCTTCTCTTCTGTGCTCACTAACCCATTGCAGGTCACACAGAATTCAGAGTGAATTCACATAAGTGATTTGGTACTTTATTAAGGAACTCAAAGCATGCAGCTCAGGAATCAACGGGCTACAAGTCAGGATCAGGGTCAGGAGACATGTAGGCAGAATGGAAGCTTCTGTGAAGAGGGAACACATCCTGCCCATTAAGGACAAGCTAGCTTTCATGTCTCCTCTCAGCTGCATGTGCAAGCCAGTTTTCTCTCTGCCTTGTGACTCTCAGAGCTGTGTAGGCCTTCTTGGCTCATTCAGGACAGCCCTCTTCTCGGTCCCCTTGGGACAGTCTATCTACCTTCACCCTCCCTCCCCTGGCTGTCGCAGGGCCCTTCCAGCCCCAGTCACCATCTTTCTTGCTACACCCCTTTATTGTGTTACAGTTCTATTAGCAGAGCCCTTTTTTCTTAGCCTGGTGTCATGGAAGGTTAAGCATTGGGCTGCTAACCAGAAGCTTGGCTGAACTTAACACCTGTTCCGCAGAAAGAGACGTGGCCATTCCTTCACTGGGAGTGACAGCTGGGAACATGATGGAGGATGACTATGAGAGTGCAGGAGGCCAGCTCCCAGCAACAAAGCGTGACCATGAGGAAGGCCAGGAGGCCAGCTCCCAGTGAAGGAGGGTGACCATGAGGGGGCATGAGGCCAGCTCCCAGCAATGGAGGGTGACCATGAGGGGGCATGAGGCCAGCTCCCAGCAACGGAGGGTGACGGGTGACCATAAAGAGAGGCAGGGTAAGAGGCCAGCTCTCAGGACAGAGGATGACCATGAGGGAACAGAGGCTAGCTCCCAGCAATGCATATGGAGTTTTGGTTTTGCCTTCTCTCTGTTTCTTTACTCTTTTTTTTTCTTCTTGCATTTGTCTGATTACTGCCTAGAATTGCCAATCCCCTCTCAGTAGGTTTGTGGTGGTGGTAGTATATCTCCAAGTCATAACCGACCCGTAACTGGCACCCAACAGGTTTTCAGAGGTGATGAATCACACGGGAGGAGATTTCCCATCCTTTTTCTCAGAGCAGTTGGTCAGTTGTAACTGCGGACCTTGGCATAGACAGCACAATTCCTAACCACTGAGCCATTAGAGATCCCTCTCAGAAGCTGCAGATACTTAATTTGTATGGTAGGAGATAAATTTGATATACTCTAGTGGTTTGTATGTCACTGTAATGCTGGAAGTTGTGTCAGCGGTAGGTCAGATGTCAGCAAAGTCACCCCAGGTGGACAAATTTTTTCAGCAGAGCTTCCAGCAAAGACGGAGAAGCACAAGGGTGTAGCTACTTTGGACTAATGGGCCCACAAACCCCTGTGAATAGCAACAGAGCACGGCTTGATGTGGGGCCTAAGATACATTACATGGTCTGACGCAGGGCCAGGGATACAGATCATGGTCTGACATGGGGCCAGAGATAAAGAGCACAGTCTGACATGAGCCCTCTTGGAAGGTGTGAGCTTGGAAGGCAGGCACACGTGGCTGATGAAAAGCTGGCTCCTCAGAGTTCAGTTTACCTTCATGATGTGGATGGAGTGTGGAAAGTGAAAGTGGAGAAGGATACTCTGCAAACTCAAACCAGAGTCAAGGGATACAGTCCCATTCATATTCATAGGGCAAAGTAGACTTTATGGCAAGAAGATAAAAGTGACATTTCATAATTATAAAAGTGTCTGTTTAATAGGAAGAAATAATTATCCTAAAATATGTGTATCTAATAACAAATTCAAAATGTATAAAGCAAAAGTCAGCACCAAAGGAGAACTAGACAGTCCATAATCATAAGTGATTATTTCTCTTTCAGTACCTAGAAACAGATTGACAAGAGTCAATAAGAATATAGAAAATCTGAAGAAGGTAGTCAACCACTGTCATCCAGTTATGTCCATAAGTGCAAAAACTCTGTACTCAATGGCAAATTATACCTTCCTTTCAATTGTACATGTAACATTAACCAAAGCAAACCATGTTAAGCTATAAGTAATTGTCAACAGAAATCAAAGGATTGAAATCAGTAGTACATGTACTTTTTTTTTTTTTACCAAGATTTAATGTACATTTATTCTTAACATGTGGAACATATAGTATAAAGATTTCATACTGAATAAATGATATTCATTAAGCCAAAAAAGGAGGAATTTACATCAAGTTTTAGCTACATTGTTTGAAATACAAATATGCAGATTTTATCACTGAAAAAATCTCAATTGTGTTTCTTCATCAGGAACTTCAACTGAACCTAAAACTTTTTCACACCTCGATTAGAAAGAAAATAAAACAAAACAAAAACCCAGAAAAAAATAAACTATAAGTTGATTGGCTGCTGAGACAGCAAGGATTTTTTACAGAGACCTGTACAGCATCGCATCAAGAGGGGCGATGTCTGGCAAGAGATAGCTGTGTCTCGCTTTGTGCAGGTCACCAACTTGTTAACTCGTCATACTATAAAGGGGTGGCTGGGAGAGGGACCAAAGTACATGTACTTTTATGACTTAGGATCACCACAACTCATGACAGAAAACCAATTACAAAATGCCCCCCAGCTATTGTGAAATTAATTCACTTGCTTCTGTGGAACCCAGGGATCAAATAAAGAATTTCACTTGAAGTGAGAAAGTATTTTCAATGATAAAAACATGACATGTCCAAAATGGTGAGATACAGCTAAAAAGCAGTGCTTGAGAAACTGATAATGCATCATCTTGCTCGCTGTCATCAAGGCCATTGGATTTCTGTGGCTATAAGTTTTAATAGGAGGCTAGAACCCATGTTTTCCCCATAGAAATGATGGGGAGTTTGAATTGCTGGAGACAACAAAGCCTTTTGATTAGCAATACACCATGCTAAACTGAAGCAACTTAGGACACCAAAAGAAAAAATGGCAAAACAAGGGGGAGAAGGTAGAAAGAAGTAAATTAAATGGATATGCTCATAATAAAATTATTCCAGAGAAAAGGGAGAGATAAAACAGAAATCACAAAAGATCTCGTGTACATTAAAAGGATGCTAAAAAGAAATCTACAGTTTTATTTTAATGAATTAGAAAATATAAACTAGCTGAAAATTAGAATTTACTAAAAATTGAACACAAGGTGAATAGAAAATCTGAATAATCCTGTTGTTGTTGTTAGGTGCCATCAAGTCGTGTACAACTCATAGTGACACTATGAACAAAAGATCTGGAACCAGTCCTGTCCTATGCCATCCTCACACTTCATGACACTCAAAAGCCCATTGCTGCAGTCACCTTGTCAGTCCACCTGGTTGAGGATCTTTCTCTCCTTCACCGACCCTCCCCACTTCCCAACATCATGTTCCTCTCCAAGGAATAGCACCTCCTAGAAATGTGTTCAGAGTATGTAAGGCGAAGCCTCATCATTCTTCCCTCCAAAGAGCACTCCGGCTGCACCCTCTCCAAGACATAACTATTCACTTTCTTGGCTGTCCGTAGAATGTTCAGTGCTCTTCTCCAATACCACAGCTCAAAGGCATCAGTTCTTTTCCTGTCATCCTTATTCATTGTCCAGGTCTCAGATTCATAGTTAGTAATCAGAAAGACCATGGCCTGAATCAGACGAATCTTAGTCCTCAAACGGACATCACTACTCCTCAATAATCTGGAAATGTCTTTAACTGCAGATTTTCCCATTACAATGTGTCTCCTTATTTCCTGAGTGCTTGTACCAACGGTGTTAATTGTGGATCCAAGCAAGATGAAGCTATTGACAGTTTCAATCTCCTCTCCATTCATCATGCACTGCTTATTGATCCAGTGGTAAGAATCTTTGTTTTCTTAATACTGAGACACAATCCATACTGAAGGCTGCATTCCTTGATCTTCTGCAACAAGTGCTTCAAATCCTCCTCACTTTCAGCAAGCAAAGTTGTGTCATCTGCATAACGCAGGTTATTGATGAGCCTCCCTCCAATCCTGATGCCACACTCCTCTTCATAGAGTCCAGCATCCCGTATAATTTGCTCAGCATATAGATTGAACAGGTATGGAGACAGAATAAATCCCTGGCGCACTCTCTTCCAAATTTCAAATCCTACACTGCTCGCCTGCTCCATTCATACAACAGCCTCCTGGTCCAGGTATAGGTTCTTCATGAGCACAATCAAGTGCTCTGGGATTCCCATTCTTCTCAGTGTCAGCCACAGCTTGTCATAATCCACACAAACACCTTTGCATAGTCGATAAAGCACAAATAGACATTCATCTTGTATTCCTTACTTTCAGCCAAGATCCATCTGACATCAAAAATAATATCCCTGGTGCCACAGCCTCTTCTAAATCGTGCTTGAACTTCTGGCAGTTCCCTATCTATGAACTGTTCCAGCTGTTTTTTAATGATCTTCAGCAGTATTTTGCTAGCATGTGGTATCAATGATATTGTTCAATAATTTTCACACTCAGTTGGACCACCCTTCTTGGGAATAGGAACAAATACAGACCTCTTCCAATCTGTTGGCCGGGCAGCCATCCTCCAAATTTCCTGGCATAGACTCATAAGTACATCCAAGGCTGCATCTGTTAGTTGAAACAAGTCAATTTATATCCCATCAATTCCTGTGGCCTTATTTTTGCTAATGCCTTCAAGACAACTTCCACTTCCTCTTTCATTACCTGTTCATGTGGTACTTTCTGAAATTTTTCAGTGTCAATCCTTTCTGGTACAGTGACTCTGTGTATTCCCTCCATCTTCTTTGCAGACTTTCTGATCATTCAATCATTCAATCATTGGTCATAACATCTTTCAACATTGCAACACGAGACCTAAATTTGTTTTCAATTCCTTCAGCTTGAGAAATGCAGAGTGAATTCTTCCTTTTTTAATTCTCCAATGCCAGCTCTCTGCACATTGCATTATAAAACTTTGTCCTCCCGAGCTGCCTTTTGACAGCATCTGTTCAGCTCTTTTACTTCAACATGTTTTCTTCTAGATTTGGCTTCCCGACATTCCAATGCAATCTTTAGAGTCTCTTCTGACATCCTACTAAATATCTAATTAAGAAATTAAGTTTTTCATTTCAAACCCTCCTACAGAGAAACTTCTCAAATGGCTAATAATATCAGTATTATCTCTAGAGAATAGGAAAAGAAGACTCATTTTATGCACTTTGCATACTCTGATGTAAAAAGCTGACAAAAGCATTACAAACCTTATAAGACTTTCATAAACAAATGTATAAATAATATAGAATATTAGTAAATAGAATCCAAAAGTATATTAGAACAATAATACATCATGTTACATTATTGATTGATACCAAGTGGAATTGATTCCAGAATGCAAAGTTGATTTGACATTTGAAATTCACTATATTAACATGATGGAGACTAAATATAAATGGTCATATCAAGTTCCCATCACTGACCCTTATGTAATATATATAAAATATCTCATAAAAAATGAAGAGGGAATACTGAAACACACATCCTCTTTACGGTTTTTTTATTCTTGTATTAACTCTCTCAAAAATAACTATATGTAGAAGTACATGGCATGAGTATTGGAGGAAGACTTATCAACAGCCTAACATACTAGTGATGCAAACTTGCTTGCACAGAGTAAAGAGGACTTGAAGCGCTTGCTGCTAAAGATCAAGGGCTACATCTCAGCATCAAGAAAACAAACATCCTCACCAGGGGACTAATAGGCAACATCATGATAGATGAGAAAATACTGTAGTTCTCATTAACTTAATTTTACTTAGATCCAGAATCAACGCCGATGGTAATAGAAATCAGAACACATGTTGCATTGAGAAAATCTGGCAAGGACTTTTTAAAAAAATTTTCGTTTTATTATTTTTGTGTGTGTACCATCAAATCGGGTCTGATTGTCCCTCCTTCTCCAGCAAAGAATCTGACAGATTTGAACCACATACCTCTGGGATCAGAGGCAAGGATATTTCTAAAGAACAAAGATGCCCATTTAAAGGCTAAGGTGCACCTGACCGCTGTCAAAGTTTTTTTTTTACTTTCTCTACATCTGAAAGTTGGACATTCAGTAAGGAAGAATTGATGCCTTTTAATTGTGGTGTTGGAGAAGAATACTCAATATCACCTGGACTGTCACAAGAACAAATGGGTCAGTCCTGGAGGAAGTACAAGCAGGGTGCTTCTTAGAGGCAAGAATGGTGAAACTTCTCACATACTATGACCATATTGTTAGGAGGGGCCAGTTGATGGATAGTCAGAGGAAGACCCTCAACAAGATGAATTGACACAGTGACTTAATAATTGTCTGAAGCATATCAGAGCTTAGGAGGATGGCACAGGATAGGACAAGTTTCCAGTCGGGGGTGACTCAACAGCACCTTATAACAGCCTTTGCATTAGTCTTTGTATTGTAATCCTATTTAAAGTGTCTTCTCCCATGTGCTTAACTGCCTCTGAAAAGCCAGAGGGTCAGCTAAAGTCAGTTACTGGATGGTACACCACCACCACAACAACAATGTAGCCTTTGAAATGGTGAGGGATTCTGTTTATTGTGGGGTTTTTTTAACTACAAATATTTTATTCCACTTTTCTAAAGACTACAAATCCATAAATTACATTTATCAAGATATGATAGCAACAGTCTCAAATGGAGGAACTGAATGACAATTTTGTGGTTTTATTTTTTATTTACTCAATGTTGCTTTTTCTTTAATAGAAAAGTTAGATTTTCATTCATTTATTGTTGTACATATTACCCTCACTCTCTCTCTTCCTCCTCCCCTAGTTCACTTTTTTTTTATATTCATTCATTGTTGACAATTACCTCCCACCTCCACCCCCCGGAATTTTATTTATTGTTCTATTCTAAGCAAAGGAAAGAATTAGGGAGCTCTGGTGACCTAGGCGTAAGAAGTTGCATTGCAATACCAAAGGCACATAGAATCCATCAGCTGCTCCCAGGGAGGAGGATGGTTTCCCTCCCTGCAGTTTACTACCTGTGAAAGCCCACTGGAAGGTCAATTATGGGTTGATTCTGACTCAGGCACACAACAACAAAGCTAATAGTGCCTGGCCTCTGGTAAGTGCCCAGTAAATACAGGGTAGCTTTGTATACCTTTGAATGAATAAATGAAGCTCAAAGATTTTATGATTTATCCAAACTGATACGATTTGGTTCTGCTTTTCTTTACTTTCCATTTCAGTATTCAGTTATCTTTCCAAAATAATGTTCATTAAACATTAGCTGAATGTCCATGATGTATTGAAATCTGACATCAAGGCCTGTGCATGCTTTATCGTACCGTATACATTCACCAGATTCATAATCTCCTCCTCCACTCCCAGTCTCTCAAGTCACGTATCTTTAGCTCACTGGTAGAAAATTAGTTGCATTTCCTTCCTTAAAGCATTGCATTGGTTGTATAGAGAAGTTACAGTTGTTCTATCTTGTATATTATTTTAAGTGATACTAATCATGGAATTATGATGTGTGGAAGTAGGTCACGTACTGCAAGAGAAAAAAATGACCATTCTGTTGAAGAAGATGATAAGGAGGATGAGGAGGAAGAAGAAGAAAACAGTGAAGAAAGTAGTGAGGAGGAAAGCAGGACAGAAGAGGAAGATAAACAGGAAAGTGAATTTCAAAATCAAATAGCCATTAAAGAATACATTGCAATTGGGGATTTTACCGCTCAGCAAGTTGGCGATCTTACATTCAAGGTGAGTAGAAACAAAACTGGAGTTTAGGGTTAGGAAAAGTTAACTAACTGGCTTAGGATAGATAGGTCAGAGTTCAGAGTTACCATGCATAGAGTCCCCGTGAGTTGTAGTCAATTAGAAGACACATAACAACAACAATGAAAGTAACTGGAAAACATAATTGCCATATGATTATTTGACTCAAGTGTATCTTAAATTAGCTATATAACTCCAAAGAACCCTTCATTGATCTTTCTCTGGTTTAAAGGTAGAGTGTGGGGAAACTTTTGAAAATAGAAATATGTGGATATAAACTATGTATGTTGTGGATAAGTGCCAGAGTGAAAGTTTTAGTCAACTTTTAACATTTCTATGTTTTTAGAAAAATTTTTAGTATCCATATAGTTTATATAGTAGTCATTAAGGAAATTAGAATGCAAAACATGTAAGAAAACTATTGGTTAAGACAGAATTAGGAGACACAATTTTAAAAATAAGAACTACGTTTTATAGTTTTAAATTTTAGAGCTACTTATATTAAGATTATAAGAAGAGCCTATATTATCTTCAACCTTTATTTTGAAACATTAGATATTAAATATATGCATAATTTTTGAGGTTTTTTTTGCATGTTTTCTAATTTTTTACTTCAAGAAAGGGGAAATTCTCCTCATAATTAAAAAGAAGCCAGATGGTTGGTGGATAGCTAAGAATTCCCAAGGAAAGAGAGGCCTCGTTCCCAGAACCTACCTAGAGGTCAGTATTTGTTACTTGTTTTTTCTTTTCTCTCTGCCAGATTTTTACATGTATAGTAAAATACTATATTCTTTGCTCACTTGACTATTACAAAGGATTTAAAATTTTATCTTCCCTTTCAGAGAATATATGTTAGTTTGTGCTCCCTTCATTGACACTAAAACTGCCTGCTTGTCACATGTTTGCTAGTGACAGCTGTCTCAGTCATTGTGGCTGCGTGACTGCTGAAGGCTCACTGCTGGCATTATTGGCACTTGTGCTGCTGATGTGATTAAACATCATTCATCAGCTGTAAGTTGATTTTTAGCTTTTTTATCGTGAACTTTCTCTTCAGTTGTTTGGTTTTAGGTGTGGTAGATTGGGTATTTTTTCCCCTTTTGGTCATTTTTATTGTTTCTGGTTTTAAACCATTTTCTCATGGATTTATAAGAGTTTTTAATATGATTTTTTAAAAACCAACAAAACCACACACAGCCACCATCAAGTCAATTCCAACTCCAGCAACTCTCTCTTAGGCCAGTGAGCATGCTCTTTTCTAGGATTGGGAGATTTGGTCCACATTCTTCTCCCACTCTCCCAGGGACCTTCTATTATGATCCCTTTCAGAGGGGTCAGTGGGCCACCCACCAGTCTTTCTGGCCTGTATCCTAAATAAGTGAAACTGGAACACAATGTTTTTTATGCCCATCATATGCTAAATTCTTGTCAGTACTTACATCGCTTTCTGAAAGTGCTGGTGATTGTATGGTTTGATTTTGCATTTGGTATAAAACATTTCATGTTTGATGATTTACAGCCCCGTGATAAGGAAAAAGGCCAAGACTCAAGTGAAGGCAGCAGTGAAGAAGACGTGGAGATGGTTGATGAGACAGCCAGTGAAGCAAAAGTTCAACAAAGGTAGAGGACTGTGAGGAGACAGGAGCAGCCTGGGGAAACTTTCGTTCTTTTTACTGTCGTTTGTGTGTAATTTAAGGCTTCCTTGACATGGAGACAGCTTGTGCCTTAAGAAGAGTATTACTTAAAGTTCATGAGAACTTTATGGGATTTTTTTTTTCAGTAGATAGTATTGTTCTATCTTGATTTCAGCAAGAGACTGGTAGGTTTTCAGAACTTAATCACAGTTAAACATCTTGCCCCTTGACTAATGACATTTTATTTATGGGATGACCAGGCATTTTTTTTCTGTTGCATTTTTTTTTTCTCCCCAGAATGGATTCTCACTGGAGTGCTGTTCAGGAAGCTGTCTCAGAGGTCAGTGTCTTCTGTCTTGCTAATGATAGCTTATTACCTTATATGCAGAGCAAGTTAAAAATCAAAACAGAGTGAAGATTTCAGGGGTAGTATCAGAACTTATACAAGCTGTGTTGTATTCCATTGTATGAATATACCATAGTTCTCCCATCCATTCATTTGTTGATGGACACTTGTGTTGTGTCCATCTCTTTGCTATTGTAAATAACACATCAATAAGTGGGTGTGCATATACACCATACTGAGTGAGATATCTCTGTCACAAAAGAACAAATACTGCATAACACCACTGTTAAATAGCAGGTCTGAAATGAGGCTTGGGAGGAAAATAGGCTAAGAGTACTTAAGTAATGACCATTGCATTGAAACAGATGAAGGAAAGAACTGCTTAAAAGGAATATATAATTAGACATTATATGCATGACAACAGCCCAAGATATCATTGCAAAGAGAACTGGGGGGAAAGGGGGAAAAGTAGGTAATTGTGCAACAAAGAGGGAATATTAAAAAAAAAAGGTGCAAAACAACTATGAGATATCATCTCACCCCAGTAAGAATAGAAAAATTTAACAGAGCAGCAAACAACACATGGTGGCGAGGTTGTGGAGAAACTGGAACACTTCTCTGATGGTGGAAGTGTAAAATGGTGTAACCAACTATCGAAGGCTCTATGGCGCTTACTCAAAAAGTTGCAAATAGAAATACCATTTGACTCAGCAATTCCAGTACTGGGAATATACCCTAAATAAATCATAACTGCCACCCAGGGAGATCTATGCACACCCATGTTTATCGAGGCTTTATTCATAATAGCAAAGAGTTTGAAACAACCTAAGTGCCCATTAACAAACAAATGGATAGAGAAGCTCTGGTATATTCACACAATGGAATACTACATTGCATTGAAAAACAAGGAACTCATACAATATTATTCAAAATGATGACCTGGAAGACATTATGCTGAGTGAAATATTGGTCACAGAAGGACAAATACTGCATAGTGCCACTGTTGTAGAATGGGACTGACATCAGGTTTGGGGAGTGACTTAGAAAAATTGGATAAATTATGTATACTGCATTGAAACAGATGAGGGAGAGAATTGTATAAAAGCGATACATGATTTGGTATTATGGTTATCACAAGAGTCCAGCATTAAGGTTGCATAATGGAGTGTACGCAGGTTGGGGGTAGGCAGGGATTGTACACCAATGAAAGAATTTTTCTTTTACTTTTCAAAGAGAAGAGTGAATTGAGGGGGAGGGGGAGCCAGGGAGAAAAATGCAACAATGAATGGAAATACAAAATCTCTGTAAATATTCATTAAATTTAATTAAAAAAGTAAACTGGGGGAGGGGGAAGGAAAGGAAAGGGGGTAAATGTGCAGCAATAAATGAATGAAAATCTAACTTCTCTGTAAACATTCATTAAAATCACAATCAAAATTAAATTTTATATAAAAAATATAGGACATCAGAAGGATAGTAGAAGATAGGTAACTGGTTTGGTAAGTTTGTCCATCTTCCAGGTAGCATTTCAGATATGAAGATTAGATAATTTCATACATGATTTTGAGAGCTTAAAATTATCTCTCGTTGGTTCTGCCTGAATGTCCAAACATTTGGATGAAGATTGATATTCAACGTTGGCTAATATTTGGAAAATCATTTAAAGCTCAAAAAACTAAAAATTATCTACATAAAAAATCCTGTTGTTTAAAAAATTATGTAACCAATAGCTAATCATAAGATTAAATACTTGAGAGTAAATCTAACCAAAAGCACAAAGGATCAATTCAAAGAAAATTACAAAACATTACTACAAGAAACAAAAAGAGACCTTGAGAAGTGGAAGAATATCCCTTGCTCATGGATAGGAAGACTTAATATTGTGAAAATGGCAGTACTACCAAAGGCAATTTACATGTTCAATGCAATCCCAATACAACTACCAATTCCATTCCTCAGCAAGATGGAAAAGGCAATCTCCAGTTTCATTTGGAATGGAAAGAAGCCCAGAATAAGCAAAGCACTCCTTAAAAATAGAAACAAGGTAGGAGGCATCTCTCTCCCTGATTTCAAATCTTACTACAATGTTACGGTGGTCAAAACAGTGTGGTACTGGTACAATGACAGACACATAGATCAGTGGAATAGAATTGAGAACCTGGAAATCATCCCATCTACTTATGGTCAACTGATTTTTGACAAGGAAATGAAATCAGTTAAGTGGAGAAATGACAGCCTTTTTAACAAATGGTGTTAGCAAAATTGGAAAACTATCTGTAGAAAACTCAAGCAAGATCCACACCTCACTCCATACACAAAAACCAACTCAAAGTGGATCATGGACCAAGGACTAAAACCAAGGACTATAAGCTTCATTAAAGAAAAGCTTGGAAGAACTCTAGAAGTCCTAATCTACAACATAAACAGTCCTCCAAGCATCCTGAAAAATCTGCACCCAGGGCACGATAAAAGAGATGAATGGGACCTTCTAAGAATCAAATCCCTATGCACATCCAAAAACTTCTCCAACAGGACAAAAGGGGAAGCCACAGACTGGAAAAAAGTACTTGGTAATGACATGTCAGGTAAGGAACTTATATCTAGAATTTATAAAATACTCAAGCATCACAAGAAGATAAAGGTAAATAACCCAACTGAAAAATGGACACGGGGTATGAACAGACATTTCACCAAAGAAGACGTTCAGATGGCAGACAAACACATGAAGAAGTGTTCCAAATCCCTAGCTGTAAGAGAGATGTATATCAAAACAACTATGAGATAGCATCTCACCCCAGTAAGAATAGGAAAATTTATGAGAACAGCAAACAACAAATGCTGGTGAGGTTGCGGGGAAACTGGAACCCTTATTCACTGTTGGTGGGAGTGTACAATGATGCAAGCACTATGGAAGGCAGTATAGTGCTTTCTCAGAAAGTTGCAAATAGAAATACCATTTCACGCAGCAGTTCCACTACTGGAAATATACTCCGAAGAAACCATAACTGCCATTTAAGCAGATATATGCACACCTAAGTTTATTGAGGCCTTGTTCACAATAGCAAAGAGTTGGGAACAACGTAAATGCCCATCAACAAATGAATGGATAGAAAAGCTCTGGTATATTCCCACAGTAGAATATATGCTGTATTAAAAACCAAAGCACTCATGAAATATTATTCAAAATAGCCCTGGAGAACATTATGCTGAGTGAAATATCTCAGTCACAAAAGGACAAATACTGCATAGTGCAACTGTTATAAAATAGGACTGACATTGGGGTTGGGGGAAGATTGAGAAAGATGAGATAAATTATGTATACTGCATTGAAAAAGATGAGGAAGAGAACTGTTTAAAAGGGATATATGATTAGGTATCATTGTCATGACAGGAGTCCAGAACAAAGGCTATATTATGGAGTGGACTTGGGGGGAGGGATTGTATAACAATGAAAGAATTTTTCTTTTTAAAGAGAAGAGCAAACTGGGAGGGAGGGGTGGTCAGGAAGAAAAGTGCAACAATGAATGAATGGATATCCGAAGTCTCTGTAGATTTTCATTAAAATTCGTAATAATAAAAAAGAGAAAAATATGTACCCAAAAGGAAATATCCATCCACAGTCTTTGCATCTAGTCTCCCTCCTGATAAGTTCGCACCATTAACAGGTAAATAAATATCCTTCCTGACAGTTTACACTTCTTGTAAAGTACCTCTTTGTGTGTGATGTGTATGCAGATTACATAAAAGCAGTTAATTTCTCATTGAACATAAGTTTGTGAAGTAAGTCATCTATCACATGGTAGTACTTCATGGAGGAGGACAGTAGATGAGGGATGGAAAGAAAACAGCTGGTCTGGAGCAGAACTCTACGGGATGCTACAAGACAGGTCCTCCACAAGGTACTTAGGATTGTATCTTTCAGGAATGTTAGGGTTTTCTTTTTTATTCTTCTGCTTGGGTCTGAACATTTGTGTTCTCCTCTTTAGGGCTATAGTGGTATAGTGGTAAGGAGAAAGCATCATAGATTTGAGCAAACATAAATGAAAAGCAGCAAATACATTTTGTTTTCTACTGTTTTCAGCAGATAAATACTGTTGATGTGCTAACCACCATGGGAGCTGTTCCTGCAGGATTCAGACCTTCTACACTCTCTCAGCTTCTGGAGGAAGGTAACATGTCTCCCAGCTATCACATACTTGTAAGGTCACCGAGGAAGGACAGAACCCAGTGCAGGCAAAGAAAGATAGTTTATTAAGGAGAAACTGCTGAGCTGGTTCTCAAGCAGAAGACCAGCCCCCACTAAGAGTTAGAGGGGCATTTTCTACTTTCTTACATGTGAATTGGGGAAGAGGATGCTCCTTCAAGATAGGGAAGTGGGCTGGAATCTGATAACTTCCTGAGGAAATGGAGGTAGGGTAGTTTCACAGAGAGAAAAAGCATGACTGCTGTTTCCTATTATTGGATTTTATCAGTATCCATTCTGGGAGAGGAAGGAGTGGACTCTACAGTCCTAATAATACTTTCAGTGAAAAAAATCAAAGCTTAAGTCTCACTTTTCTGTCATCTCCAAAGCAAAGAAACCCTGTTTCATCAAAGCTCAGTGGTTCAGACCTACCTTCTTCTCTGAGGAGGAAAGATGTGGCTGTCTGCTACCAGAACAATCACAGCTGTGTGTGTGTGTGTGGGGGTCTCTGTTCTGGAGGATCAGGAGGAGGTGTAGTCAGATCAAAGGCAGGTGGGGTTTGGTTACTGGGGGGAGGAAGTTAAGACAGTGTAGGGATTATCACTGGTTCTAGTAGAAATTCATTTGTTTTGTCTTGTGTTTTTTCAAGTCTTCTTAACACACCCACTGGCACTGAGTGAATCCAGCTCAGGGGTAATGACGCTCCACTAGGTTCCAGGGCTGATCATTTTTAAGGGAGGGAACTGCCTATTTTTCTCCTGTGAACAACTGGTATCTTGGTTTGCAAGCTGGTACATTATTCTCTCCGTGCTACCAGACTCCTTAAAGTCTTCTTTAGTGGAAAGGTTATAGCTTTATTAACAAATGTCTTTAGGTCTGTAGCAGAGCATTTTAAGAGATTACAAGGTTGTAATTTGTCTATCCTAAATTTACTGTGACTGACATGAAGTATAAATCTTTTTAAAAGTATGTAAAATAGATTGATATTAATATCTACTTAAGGTAATTTTCTCTTTTAAGACCTCACCTCATTGAATAAATTCTCACCTATAGTTTTGCAAATTTATATATATCATTTTAGAGATTAAGTGACCCTTGAGTATGGTATTTATGAATTGTGAGGTGATGAAATAAATAGGATGATTTATAGGCTTTTAGTCTTTATAGGCTATTTTTTTCTTTTTTAAAAAATTCTTAGCCAGTGTTGCTCTCATCTTCCACTAATAAAATTGGCCTTTGAGTTTTACACAGAGTTTTTAAAAATTGCAAAAATGACACAAAATAATTAGAAGCAATACACTTGATTATTGGCTCTCCCTGTCTCCTTTCCCAGGTTACCTTTGCTCCAGTATTAACATGTCTTTTCACATATTTTTCTGTGGCATTACAGACATTAACCCTTACCCTTTTCTCAAAACATGACTTCTATTATCATCTCTTTCCTGTATGTGGTCTCTCTTTGCTTCCCATTCCTTTCTACAGTATTGACTTTTGTCTTGTTTCATTTCAGTTTATCATTTCTTTACCTATCCATCAGGACATCCTCCACAAAAGTGGACTTGGATGAACTCAAACATGCAGTGAAGTGTACTGCATAGTGTGTATGTTAATGGAAGTATAGGTTTAAATTCTCTAATAAGTGGCTTAAAATTACAAAACAGATTTCTCTTGCAAATAAGAGCAGTTAGGGGTCAGATGACAAGCTTCCAAATACTAGAGATCTTCAGATCTCCTGCTTAACCATTCCAAAGAGTGTGGCCTTGGGACTGAATCCTGGGATGTGGGGATATAAAGGGATTATCACTGACTTCTGAGTGTGGACATTAAAGGAGAGAAGGGAATATGTCTTCTCCTGCCCTTCCCCCCCTTTTTACTGCAGTGAGCCATCCTGGACAATGAGGATAAATGTAAAATTATAGGCTATTCTTATTAATAATCACCATCCTTGAAAGAAGAATAAAGTTCAAGTTACATAAATAACCTAGGCTATAGGTTATATGTTGTTCTTAATTTGCATGTCTTTTGGATTGCCAGCTGTTCTGTCTTACAGTAAATTATAAGTCCAGAAGGATACAGCAATTCTTTCTTGATGGACCCTGCAGCACACAACAGGCTAGAAAAATGTGGTTGTTGTAGTGGTTATTGTTGTGTGCTGTCAAGTTGGAACCAACTCATAGCAGGTTTTCAGAGGCTGAAAAAAATCAGGTAGTAGGAGGTGGTCCATCTCTCTCCCATGAGCCTTTGTGTTGGCAGCATAACCCCTTCCCGCTAGGCCACCAGTTCCATATAATTGTAAATAAGAGATGTGAATCCCACTTCTTTGAGGCTCCTATTCCCTTCAGAGGCCAGTTGGTTTACCTATGCTTTAGTCCAGCCCTTACCTTTTTTCAAAAACATAACTTTTTTTATTACCGAATCTGGGTGTCCTCAGGCTCTGCCTGGTCCCTGCCCGGGCCCCCTCTGCAGTACTGTTGTGGTTGATAGGTGCCATCAAGTCAGCCGCAGCTCTCACAACCTGTGAACAGTAGATCTGAACCTTCCCCTGGGTTGCCCCCTGTTGTCACTGTGTTCTAGACACTGTGATTATCTGTCTTGTCAAGGGTTGTCCTCTCTTTCTCTGACCCTCCACCTTTCCTGGCACTTTTCCAAGAACTAGTCCCTCCTGAAAACACACAAAATATGCTAGATTAAGTTTCACCATCCCTGCCACTAAAGAACATCCTGGATTTCCTTCTTCCAAAACAGACTTCTTTTTCTTTTGCCATTCCCTGTGGTGTTCAGTCCTCTTCTCCACCTCCACAACTCACTCACGGGCATTGCCTGCCCCATCTTTAAGAGCTATCCCCTCTAGTCTTATCACATGCTCTCACCTTTTCATTGTGGTGAACAGTAAAATATTTCAGAGTTGCCTCTGTTCCCCGTTTTTTGTCTTTAATGTTATTTTTCTTTTCCCTATACTTGATAACATCTGTGTACCATTTTAAAAAGGGACCTCTGGGTAGGGAAAGTGGGAAGGTCCTCTGTACCCAGAGGTGTTGCATTCTCAGTGGAAGGGCTGCTCTCAGTTTGCTTCTGCTGAGGCAGTCCTCTCAATCCCTCCCTAACTCCTGCTGCCTTCTCATCCCTAGGTCACAAGGTAATTACATTTTCTCAGAGATGTTGTCCTTAACTAATGTAAATCCCTTCTACTCTCCTGCCTTTTATAATTCTAAGGCAGCTACTTATTTGCTTGTGTACTCCTCCGTGTCCCTTCTCTTCCCCCCACCCCCATTGTTTCAACTGTGAGCAAATGAGGGCGGGGCTACATCCCTCTCATTCACAAGTGAATTTTTTGTTCTTAGCATAGACTAAGGTACCTCTGATACAGGCCATGGTCTTTGCTATCACTTGTTATGCATCATAGAGTTGGACAATGACTAAGGAGGATAGAAGGAGAATTAATGCCTTTGAGCTGTGGTGCTGGAGAAGAGTATAGTGGGTACCATGGACTGCTAGGAAAACAGATTCAACCAGATTAAACAGATTCAGTTTAACCTGGAAAGGGTTAAACCGGGTGGCTCCTTGGAGGCAAGTATTCTGAGGCTCCATCTGACATACTTTGGACATGTTGTAAGGAGGGACAGATCCTTGGAGAGGGACATCATGCTTGGGAGGGTGGAGGGACAGCGCAGGAGGGGTAGACCCTCTATGAGGTGGATTGATTCAGTGACTGGGGTAATAGGGTTGGGTGTGTCAGAGACAGTGTGATTGGCACAGGACAGAGCAGAGTTTAGGGCTGTTGTACATAGGGTCGCTGTGAGTCGCAAGCAACTCAACAGTACATAACAACAATAGCGGCATAGAGCAAACAATTGAGAATATCAGAGATCCTTAGGATTTCCTGAGGATCTCACAAGGTTGTTTATAGGGTCGCTGTGAATCCTGGTTAGCTCAACAGCACCTTACAACAACAATAAACATCATAGGAAAAATACACACACAGAGAATGTTATGGATAATGTTGAAAAGAGCAGAATCCCAGTTATGCTCATGTAAAACCTATATATAGATCAAGAAGCATTTGTCTGAATAAGGGAAGACTGCATAGCTTAAAATCAAGAAAGATGTGCCTCAGGGTTTTATCCTTTCACCATACCTAGCCAATCTGTGTGCTGAGCAAATAATTTGAGAAGCTGGACTATATGAAAAAGAATGTGCATCAGCACTGGAGAAAGACTCATTAACTGCACTGTGCCTCTGGCAAAGCCTTGCTTGCAAAGTGAGGAGGACTTGGAGCACTTCTGCAAAAGGTCAAGGACTACAGTCTTCAATGTGGATTATATCTCAGCATCAAGAAAATAATCCCTACCACTTACCAGTTGGCATCATTGTGCTAGGTAGAGAAAACATTGAAGTCATTAATTTATTTTATTTAGATTCATAGTCAATACCCATGGTAGTAGCAGTCAGGACATGCTGCGTGTGGAAAATATGAACTCAAGGTCCTCTTTGAAATGCTAATGAGCAACAGTGAAAAGTATTGAATACCACATGGACAGCCAAAAGAACAAATCTGCCTTGGAAGAGGCAAAGTAAATCATCATCTCATGTAGGTTGGGTATGTTGTCAGGAGAGGCCAGTCCTTTGAGAAGACACTATTCTGGGAAAGAGGAAGACCCTCAACAAGGTGAATTGCACAGTGACTATAACAGTAGACTTCAGCAAGTCCAAGGCCATGAGAATGGTGCAGGCTAGGGAAGATTCCAATCTACTGTTCCTAGGGTCTCTGGGTTGTTAACAACTTCAGGGCACCTAACAACAGCTGAGAACCTGCATGGAGTAGAAAATGAGTAAGTGATTTTGTAATAAGTATTTTTTGTACCTGAAGTATGTACAAATACTATAAAAGAGCTTTGAATTATGAAGTAAAACTTTATGTATGTACGTATAGCTGTATGCTTTTGATAAAGTGTCTAAAAAGTAATTCTAGACTTTCTACATTTTATAGTCTATATAACTAGACCCCTTCATCATGAGGCAGGCCATAGCTCCAAAGTCTGCTCAGTCTTTCTTAAAGCTGTTTCAAAATCAATACTTTGTTCTGTGTCTACATTTCCCCACTGATGTTTTAATGAATCTGTGTTGCTAAATTAATCTTGAAAAGCAATTTCCTAATCAATGACTTGGAGTTTTTGCATTTCTAATTTGTAGCTAACATTGTGGATTTTTTAAAATATTAAATTTCATTACATTTTTGTTAAGAAAATTCTATTTTTACAGGAAATCAATTCCGAGCAAGCTATTTCATACAACCAGCACTCACTCCTTCACAACTGGCCTTCAAAGATTTAATGTGGGATGCTAAAACAGGCACTGTAAGTATATTTATTTTGCGTAAAAATGGTTTCAGATTTTGTTATGGTGGTTGCTGTTGTTGTTATGTGCCAGTAAGTTGCTTGCGACCCTATGTACAAGAGCTCTAAATGCCATTCTACAACCTAGCCATCTCAAATGCACTCATTCTCACCACTCTGGTCACAGAATTGATCCATCTCATCAAAGGTCTTCCTCTCCTGTGCTGCCCCTCCACTCTGCCAAACATGATATCCCTCTCCAAGGACCAGTCCCTCCTTGCAAAATGCCCAGAGTATGTCAGACGAAGCTTCAGAATCCTTGACTCCAAGGAGCATTCTAGCTTCACCTTCTCCAGGACAAACCTGTTTGTTCTCCTAGCAGTCCATGGTATATTCAACACTCTTCTCCAGCACCA